CCTAGGGGCTGACTGAGATCTTCTCCCTCGGGACACTGACAGGTCTTGGCACACCCTCAACAACCGGGAGCTATCAAAAATAAAACAGGCTGCTTGGACAATCACCACGGTTCAAGAGATAGGGAGAGATGGGATGAAGTTGAACTCTAAGGTTTTCCCTCAAAACTGGGAGAGGTGGCTGTTTCATCCAAAATGTAGAAACATGGAGTCAAGCAAAGTGAGGAGACAGAGGAACATGCCCAAAACAAAAGAACAAGATAAAAGCTCAGAAAAAAATAAGAGCTAGAAGATTCTTACTATTGAACAATGCTATCTCCACCTTCTTCCTTCTGACTTTCTCACTGGGCAGAAGGAAGAAACTAATTCCATCTGTGGGCAGATGGGGGAGCAGGGACCTGAGCCCAGGGAATGTTCCTTCAACTCCTGAAGCTACGTGTGCTATGTGCCCATTGTCAAGCAACTACACTCTGGGCCTCTTTTGGATGTAAATTTAAACTTACTTAGACTCCTATTTGTAATGTATTTCCATGCATTCTTGACTGCCTGCAGGGAGAGATCCTACAACACTCTCTTCACCATGCCCCGGCGCCCCTCCAATCACACAGTGGTTGACACATACTCAAGTGTGTAGGCGAGGGCTTATGTTTAGCATTTTCTAGGGGAAATTGTTTCAAAACCATCAACCAACAAATATGTGTAGAATGCTATTTACCACTTCTGTGTTCAGCGGCATGAAATAATGGAATTTCTCAAAAGCAAACCAATCTTTTGGGTGTTTCTAAGGGTTTTGTTTTGTGATGAAGTCAGGATCTCCAGTTGGAAAAATGATGGGGGGGGGGGCAAAGAGTAAGAAAGCCTGAAGAGAAGTCAGCAGAAAGGAAATGACAGTAATACCTGTATCTACACATTCCCGAGAGTTAAAAAACAAAACATTAGTATAGAAAACAATGATGATAAAATATTATGTACCTAGCATATAATAATGTATATGCACTAGGTATATTCATTCTTCATATATATTCATGCGTTTAAGTTTATTTTTCTTGTGAATCAAACTTCCCTAAAAATTATGCATTGTCCTTTCAAGCCTAACAACTTCACCAAGGTTTCCATTTGACAGAAGAGGAAATGTTGGCTCAAAGAGGTAAAACAACTTGCCCATGATCAGGCAGCTAATAAATAATATAACAAAGATGCAAGCCTATGCCTATGTGTCTCAGAGCATCCCAGAACCATCAGGGATGATTGTTTAAAATGCTGGCAATAGAATTTCTTGGGTTTGGATCTGGAGACCCAGACTTTTGCCAAACCCTCAAGTGATTTACATGCAGACGGAAGACCAAAAACCAGTGACTTTGTCAATAAGGATTTACCACTCGTTTCTTAATAAGGTGCATATAGCAATAGACATGTTACCTGGATATTAGTTTCCTAGAATCTGTGCTCCACGGAAGCCATGGCTAACTTTAGAGAGGGAAAAAATAATCAGCCAATATTTGCAAGAAGACTTCTACCATGAATGCCAAGTTATTTTTCAGACCGATTACTGAGATCAGGGTTAGCAAGCTATAGTTCTCAGAGTAAATCCATTATGATGCAGTCTCTGTAAATAAAGTTTTATTCTATTACATAGTGTCCGCTGCTTTCCTACCACTGTGGCTGAGTTGATAGTTACAACTGAGACTATATGTCTACAAAGCCAAAAACATTTACTATCTGACCCTGTATAGAAAAACTTGCTGACTTCTGGCCTAGGTCATGTTTTAAGTACAAGAATGGTAGACTTAGCCAGGGTCTTTGTTGTAAAATCCAAGAGGGAGAAATTCAACATACTTATGAGAAATGCAAATGTTTATTAAATTTTTGATAAGGCATATTTCCTTTTGTTTAAAACTATTTTTTAGGGCTCCTGGGTGGCTCAGTTGGTTAAGCGACTGCCTTCGGCTCAGGTCATGATCCTGGAGTCCCGGGATCGAGTCCCACATCGGGCTTCCTGCTCAGCAGGGAGTCTGCTTCTCCCTCGGACCCTCCCCCCGCTCATGCTCTCTCTCTCTCTCTATCTCATTCTCTCTCTCAAATAAATAAATAAAATCTTTAAAAAAAATAAAAAAATAAAACTATTTTTTAGTATCAAAAAGTGGAATTTTGATAGCTGGGGTTTGTAAAGAGCAATAACACAGTTTCTATCAAAATTTTAAATGTACATACTCTTCAAGCCAGCTATCTTATTTCTAGGAATCCAGTGGGAAACCCAGTCCATGTGGTGGGAACACATCTGCCTCCTTTTTCTCCCCAACCCCTTCCCTCCTCTCTCTCTCTCTCTCTCTCAATGTCTCTCTCTCTGTCTTACTCTCTGTCTCTCTCTCAGGTCCTCTGTCTACAAAGTTCCCTGATGAACAATATTAGTTACTAACTCTCAGGAGAGAGTAAAAGAGAAAAAGAGAGAGAGGAAGGAGAGAGGCCAGCCTAGTGGGCTCCACCTTTGTGGAGGTAAGGTCATTACCTCAAGAGGAGGTAAGGTCCTCCTCTTGAAGCCCAGTGAAGGGGTCTCAAGGGGGTAACTTGTAAAACCTGGAAGGTGCCTACTAGCAAAGTGACTCACTTTACAGTGGGATGTCCTAGGATGAAGCTCTCAAACTGAAGGGAAATCAGAAGTTCAGAAGGAACCATGGTTTATCATCATACTTGAGGACCAAGGATCCAAAGCTTTGGATCAAGCTTTGCTTGAAGCTAATCTACTTCTTGAAGTTTCAGTCACGTGAGCTAACAGGTTCCCTTTTTCCATTAAGTCAGCTTGAGTCAGCTTTTCTGGTACTATAGCTCAAAGTCTCCCTGCATTGCTGTAAATAGCACACCCCACCAAGTGTAACTGACTGAGGGCAGAAGCTGAGGTCAAAGTCAGTGAGGACACCTCCTCCTAGTACAACAGCTGGTCCCCTTCCTGGCCTGTTCTGTATCCTTAGTATGGCCATCTGCCTAGCAAGGTTGCATCAAAAAGGAAAATTCAAGATATTGGAAACTGACTAATTCTTGCACAAATCAGTAAGGCCCATTAAGAAAGAGACTAGCTCACTTTGAAATTGGCTTGTCTGATAGCAGAGAGGGGAAAAACAGTTTCCTTAAGAAAAGCCCTTTTTGGGCGCCGGGGTGGCTCAGATGGTTAAGCGTCTCCCGTCGGCTCAGGTCATGATCCCAGGGTCCTGGGATTGAGTCCCGCATCAGGCTCCCTGCTCCTTGGGAGCCTGCTTCTCCCTCTGCCTCTCTCTCTCTCTCTGTCTCTCATGAATAAATGAAAAGTTTTTTTTTTTTAAAAAAAAAGCCCCTTTTTACTTGCTGCCCACGCACCAAGCTGGTTTGCACACCAGTGACCTGGAGCTTGCAGACTGGAAAAGCAGAACTCTCCATGGCAAGGTGATGTTAGAATGAGCAGAAATGGGAAGATGGGAGAGGAGGAAGGATGAAAAAGTGGGGTCCAGAAACAGCCAGATCCACCCTCTCCTCAGACACCCCCCCGCCCCATTTTAAATATTTATCCTATGGACAAAACCACGTTCTTGCATCACAGCTGGGATGCAGCCAGAGGCTGGGAGCTGATCCCAGTGAGCCCCGTGCCCATGGCATTGTTTCAGCAGTAGAGGGCACTGTGGGGACAACAGTCAGTGGCCTGGGGGAGGGGATGTGACTGTGAAAGGGATGACCAGCGCGACCAGGGCTCCAGCACTGTGCTGCGAGAGAGGCGTTCTGAACCCACTTCTAGAAGTGACATTAGCCGACAGATTGTCTGCTTCTAATTAACCATCCAATGGAAGCGACCAAAAACAGATCAGAAGCCTTGAAAAATGAGAAAGGAGCTGCTCTGAAACCCGAAGGCTGGCCAAAACAGCCTGACTACACCCGACGGTGGTTTTCAAACTGCCTGTGCATTACATCACCTTGGGAGTTTCAAAATTACTGACGCCCAGTCCCCACCTAACTAAACCTGAACTAACTTCATAACTTTGGAGGTGAGGTCTAGGTACTGGAGTTTCTAAAAACTTTCCCAAGGGATTCTAACGTGAATTCAAGGTTGAAAAGCAAATCCTTAGGCACCCACTCCAACAGGCAATAGCCAGCCTCTATAAAAGTCTTCACCCTAAGTGGGATTCCCGGATAAAATACAGGATTCCCAGTTAAATTTGAATTTCGGACACACACCAAATGATTTTTTTGTAAGTTTATCCCAAATATTGCCTGGCACATACTTATATTAAAAAATCATTCATTCTGTATTTTTATTTGTTAACTCTGGCCACTGTTAAGCCTCCAACCCTCACCTCAGATATGGCTATGGAGAACATTCTCCCAGAAAGCAGAGCACAGAAGCCCTGAGAAGCCGACCAGGGCTCTCAGCCAACAGGAGTCCTTGCTAGACGGCAGGCAGGTTCGCTAGACCGTCACTAACAGAAGTACCCAAGCACCCAGCATTTGCTAAACACTCAACAAATGTTAGCCATCATTCTGAGGAGAGCTTCACTTACGAAAATGAACGTGTGCACACAAATATGCATCACAGGATGCATCATCTCGGGACTCATTTAAGCAGAAAAATGTCTGAGAGAGTATCAGGCATGACTTGGTGATAAAAGAATGCGCCAGTTTCAGCTTTCCAGGAAAGTGTCTCCAGCGAGAGTCTGGCACCCCTGTGCTAGCACTCTGTTCCTTTCTGGTGGTTTCTGCCCCTCTTCAGATGTCTCCCCTCTTCCCCCAGTGTCCTTCTCAGCCTGTGGTTCTGATTAGTTGGGAAAACAAAATCAATGGAGTCATCGCAAGGAAAAGGCTGGTTTACCTTTTATCGAAGTACGTTCAATATTTTGAAACGCAGTGCTGGGTAAACTGTCCCGTGAGCATTTGTTGTTTGATATGTATGAAAAGACTGCTACAAGAGAGCTAATCCTGCTGATGGATCATCCACAGATTGAGTGTGAGGAGAACTGAAGGGGGGAGCGGGTGAAGAGAATGTCATGAGAAGTCCGAGAAAATACTTATTACATTCACACAATTCAAGAAGGGAAATAAATTACAAAAGTTAAATAAGATACATAAACTAAAATTAAAGTTAAAGAGGGCGGCAGAGTGTGGCTGGGGTGGGGGTGGGACCCATCGAAGAGATGCCCTCCAGAGTTCCAAGGTCATTGCCCCGGCTCAGGTGCCTTCTCCCCAGTCTGCACACAGATGTAACACCTTCCTTGTAGCTTCCAGGCCACTCAGGCCTTCAGCTCCAGGTCGCTGATGTACTTCTGGACCCAGGCCTCCCTGGGGTCAGCACAGATCTGCCGGCCTCTTTTGGTTTGGAAGCTGTGGAGAGGTGTGAAAGGGTTACACGCTGAGGAATCTAGCAGGGGAATCCTGGGCCCACTGTGACCCCCTCCATCCTTCTCTACTTCAGACCTCTCAGGGCCTGTCCACATGCTCATAAAATGGACCCTCCATGTTAGGGTTCATGACCTCCTCTGGGTCTCATACAGGGGTCCACTCAGAAAGCCAACTTCCTGCTGTCACCTCAACAGCAGAGTTAATTCCTTCAGGACTCCCCACAGGCACCAGACCAGGTCAGAAAACATGGCAGTGGCCTCCCCTGGTGTCCTGTGCTCCAATGGGCCTCAGAAGGCTGAGTCCTCCAAGGGGGCGGCTCATCCCAGCCCTCCCATCTCCTTCCCCAAGAAGACTGGGCCTTACATGACACCGGGCTTGGAGCACTGGCTGCTGGTCTCATAATAGTCGACCACAAATTTCCAAGGAATCTGCCGGGAGATATAGAAGCAGCAGCAGGAGGTCGGGGTGTCAGCACCAACTGAGAGAAACGGGACAGAAAGATCCTAAGTCACTATTCAGAAGATAGGGTGAGCCGGCCAATCCCTGAGGGTCAGGAAGAACTGGAAGGAGGCAGCCCTGCGCAGGTGTGGGGATGTGGGGACAAACACATCCAGAAGGAAGCTGGTATTTCTTCTTTTCCTTGCCATTTTTATTTCTGTGTCTCTTTCCATGTTTCTCATTCTCTGCCTGTCTTGGTTTGGGGTCTCTGTGGCTCTCCACTGAAGTTCGGGAACTGAACTTTCTGAACAAACACTGCGCCCTTTCTGTCTCTCCCGGGGCAGTTCCATCTGGAATTCATGAGGAGAGCAAAAGCCACACCCCTGGGAGCCAGTCGGACACAGATTCTACCTCTTCTCGAAATCCCAGGTGGGCGTCCATTTTTCCAGCCTTAGAATGGGACTTCCTCCCACTCTCTCGCGGAGCTGGACAACAGAATGGCTAAAGCACTATGGGAAAGAAACTCCTCCTCAGGAGATAGTCTTGGAAATCCTTCTGAAGTTCTCTACTTAGAGGGGCTCAGGCACAAGACTTTGGCCCTGGGGTCCAAGCTAGGGCCAGAGAGTGGGAGGACAGCGGCAAAAGGAGGAAGGGAGGACAGACTCACAAGAGGAACAGTAGGTCTGGGAACAGAGTGTCACGGTGAGCAGCAGGACGGGCAGGACAGCTTCGGGGACCTCCATGGCTCTGGGCAGCAGAGGGTGTGAGCTCAAGCGGGGGCCAAGTGGAGCTGGGACCGGAGACGTGCAGCTGCGGCCTCCTTCTGGGGTCTAAACCCTGTCTTTCTCTTTATAGGCAGCCTCGGGGCATTAGAAGACAGAAAGTTGAGGAAACCAACGGGGGATATTTAAAATCACTGGTGTTGGTGTCATGCTGTGAGTTGCATAAGGCAGGAGAGCTCTGGTCGCCACAAAAGTTCAGGCTGTTTGCAACCATGGTTCAGTTGCCTCTTGAGGGGGAAATGGTTTCTATAGCGAGAGGAGGTGAGATGCTGGTGTGACCCGGTTAGCAGGTGCCTTCTCACAAGAGCAGATCCGGAGATCAAGCATTTCTGCCACAGAGCCTCCTGCTATGCGCCCCAGCTGTTCGGATAGCATCGAGGTGACACGGATGATAATGCCATGGAGTCTGGAGGAGCACACCCCAAGCTAGAACACACCCCAGATGGAGACAGCAGAACTGGGGAAGCCTCAGCTCCTCAAGGGGCAAGGTGGAGGCTGGCCTTGCAGACTTCTGCTCCATCATCAAACACGCACGGGTCTCTGCAGTCTGCCGGGGAGTGGCAGTGCCTGGCAATGAGCCCTACTGATTGTAATGTCAGCTTTGGATTGCCGAGGCCTCCGTGTCAAAGACATATTGCCATTTAAAGAGCTAGGCTGCCCCGTCCATAAGTTATACAGCTGGCCACTTGAGCAACCCTGCTTTTCCCTTCCTGCACTCTAATTCCTGCGCTTAGGCTTTACATTTACCAACAGGGAACCCACAAAGCCCCAGGCACCCCACCCTTAGCCCCAATAAAGGCAGAACCCCAGGCCTATGCTCTCCCTCTCTCTTTACCAGTGATCTCACTGGGGGGGGGCGGCAGGCATGCTGTGTACCCCTGTGAGTAATAAACCTTGTATTTTAAAATTTCCCTGACGGTTGCTGCTGAGGTGTGAGGCTCACAATCATAGTAAGAACCACAAAGGCCCGTCGGGCCACAACCTTGGCTCTCTTCGGGGAAATGTCTGGGGAGCTCACCACCAGCAGTAACTACGTAGCCCAGCATTTTGAGCTCATAGCATCACTATCAAAAGGCTAAGACCCCCACAAAAGAGCTGGTCCCTGGGTTAGTTGGGCTAACGGGCTAGCCAGGCGGCTAATGTGAATGATGAGCCTTAAACTGTTGTTACCCTTTGACCAGCAAAGTACTCTGCCAAGGATCTGTTTTATGCATAGAAATAGAAAGATGAAGAAAACTGTATGCATAATGGTGTTTGTCACAGCTTATTTGTAACAATTTAAAAAGGACCTATAGGGTGTCTGGGTGGCTCGGTCGGTCAAGCGTTAGACTTGATCTCAGCTCAGGTCATGATCTCAGGACCGTGAGTTCCAGCCCTGTGTTGGGCTCCACACTGGGCATGGAGCCTACTTTAAAAAATAATAATAATAATAATATTTTTTAAAAAAGAAATAAGTAATTTTTTTAAAAAGCAAAAAAAATAAAAGTAATAAATTAAAATTAATACAATTAAATCATTTATGATATATTCACCTCTTATGATAATAATTAGCCCTTAAAAACTGAGAAAGTGATGAAATGTTCAAAGGAAGTCCTTGTTCCTCAAAAACCCTAGAACATTTCCTGTGTTCTTATTACAAAGTCAAGATGGCATTTCCAAAGTTTGTCTGGCAGTTCAATGACATCATCAGGGACTCTTTTCTTAAAATGTTTCCCTTTCCACTGAGGGTTGCTGGAGTGGTGGGGGGTGGGAGGGATTGGGTGGCTGGGTGATAGACAT